TCAACAACAATACTTTTTCCACAATAAAGAGCTCACGGCTCCATCACAATGAGTACGAAAGTCTCACAAAAATATTCGGGAATAAATAACTCAATAAAATAATATTTCAAAATTTTAATACATTGTTTCAATACCAAATTTAGAATGTCAAATAATTCATATTAATAATATTTAATTTAAAGAAAATCAACCTTCAAATAATGCATAGAATAAAAGAAATCAAGTTTAAACTAAACAGGTAAACCAATTAGCAGGAAAAGGTCAAGCAAATGTAAAGTATAAACATTTAAATCAATGATGAAGAATATAACAAGGTAAAATTATTTAATTAATATGCAACATCGATCTACACAATTTAAAGACATAATCTTTCATATTTCGCCCGTGTACACACTCGTCACCTTGTGTACATGACTTTCAACACATTTCATTTTATCACTTTAATACCAATCCTAGGGGAAATTTTTCCCGCACAAGGTTAGACAAGTCACTTACCTAGACTTGCTCCAATTTAACCAAGTAGTACGCTTTTTCCTTGATTTTTCGACTCCGTCGACTCAAATCTAGTTATAATTAATTCGATACAGTCAACAAAAATTATAAAATCAATTCCATAAGAAAATACTATATTTTTCAATAAAAATCCGAAATTCACTCAAACTGCACGTCTCGGAATCCGACGAAAGTTAAGAAATATGGATGCCCGTTCAACCACGAGTCTAACCATATCAAAATGACTAAATTTCGATAACAATTCGACCTTCAAATCCTCAAATCTATCCAAGAGGGTTTTCAAAATTTTCCAACTTAAATCACCAATTAAATATTAAAAACAGTGATGGATTCGGGTAATCTAACCAAAGTTGAGTTAAGAACACTTATCCCGATGTTTTCTCTGAAAATCACCCAAATATCGCCTCAATCCGAGCTCCAAACATTCTGCCCAGTGATTTCTTCTATCCGATCGCGGACCAACTCACGCGATCGCAAAGCACAAGTTTTTCTTGCCCAAAAATAACTCTACGCGATCGCGAAAAATACCACGCGATCGAGAAGCACAGTCTCTGCAAGCCTACGCGATCGCGATGCTTCTCACGTGATCACGAAGCATTAAGCGCGTGGCCCAGCTTCTACCTTGTTTCCTATTCGCGAACGCGGTCTTAGCCACGCGTTCGCATAGCAAAGCTTGCCAAACCTACGCGATTGCGGACTCGCCCATGCGATCATATAGCATAAAATTTTAGCTGCCCCGTTAAACCTACGCGATCGCATACCTTCTCACGCGATTGCATAGAAGGAAACCAGAACCTGCAGAAACCAGAACTTCACCTATCAAGCCAAGTCCAAAAATGATCAGTTAAGCATTCGAAACTCACCCGAGCCCCTTGGGACCTCAACCAAATACACCAAAAAGTCCTAATACATCATACGAACTTAGTCGAGTCCTCAAAAATCACATCCAACAATACTAAAAACACGAATCACACATAGATTCAAGCCTAATGAATTTTGAAACTTTCAATTTCTACAAACGACGCCAGAACCTATCAAATCAAGTCCGATTGACCTAATGACATAATGGAGCTATGAAAATTTTTGGAAATGGATTCTGACTTCGGTATCAAAAAGTCAACTCCCCGGTCAAACTTCCAAATTTAAATTCCTATTTTAGCCATTTCAAGCCTAATTTAACTACAGACTTTCAAATAAAATTCCGAACATGCTCCTAAGTCTAAAATCACCATACAGAGCTATTGGAATCATCAAAATTCTATTTTGGGATTATTTTTTCAAAATGTTGACCGAAGTCTAGTATTTTAAGGCCAACTTAAGGAACCAAGTGTTCCGATTTCAATCCGAATATTTTCAAATCCCGACCAACCATCCCCGCAAGTCATAAATTTATAAAAGCACATACAAGGAGTTTTATTTAGGGGAATATAGTTCTAAATGTCAAAATGACCGGTTGGGTCATTACATATGGTTAAGCAGATGCCCTCGAACATTTTTATTATCCTTTTCAAATTTCTTTTCAGCATCATCATCAGCAACAACAGTAGCCGTTATATTAGAACTATCAGCAACATTAGTAGTGTTGAAAACAACATCAACAGGAGGTTCGTTAAACAAAACGTAATCCACTGCTAATTGTTCAAAGAAAATTAGAAGTTTCTGGGACCAACGCTTAAAATTGTTGCCATCTAAAGGTTCAAGCTTTGACAGATCAGGAAGTATTTTGTTCAAAGTGGTAGCCATTAGTCAATATTATATACGAAATCGCTTTCAAATTGTAAGAAAAAATAGTAAATAATATTGACCAAGAATAGAAATAACTTATCGAATAAATACTGTGTCGTGGCAAGCCACTGCCTTGAAAGCGATTTCGGTCCAACTGGGTGCAAATCGTTAAGACTGATTGCTCCCCAAGGTTCCACAGTACTTCCAAACACGTGCACTCGTGGCTGGAAGTTTGGAGTTTGCAAAAAAGAATTGCCCATGAAAAATAGGAAGAAGAATAGTCTTTTGAGAGGATGAGAGAATAAAATTTTTTGTTGGTGTTTTGGCTCACAAATGATGATGTTTATATAGGCAAATCATTTACGTTTTCTTCCATCAGAAAATCGTAAGAGGCCAAATGTGAGTTATTGTTATATAACATTTATTTTAGTTTAATGACAAAATTGTCATAAAGATAGTAACTTCAAACCTTCTGAAAAGTTGTATCTTTTCGCAAACGAAGTCACAAAAGTTAAGAAACCGTCATATGAATGAATGTGAACCATTTATGAAGTAGTAACTTCATTCTCCCACTCCGCATATACATAAAATCTAGAAATGTCATAACAAATTAATGGTGGAGAGGTATGACAATTAACCATAGATTAATTGTAGATTAGAAGTGTTCTTTGTTCTTTGCATTATTAAATTAGAGTAACGCCTAAAGAGGAATAATACCAACATTAACTACTACTCCTACCAATTACTAAATCACTCTCCAACAATCTACCGGACCAAATTTGCATTATATAATCTCAACTGCGTACTTTCTTTACATGAGAAAAAAATGGACGAAGTTTAAACGCTAGGAACAAGATTATATTTATATCATGCGTTTACAAGAAAACAGAATTAAAAGTACGGACTATATGTACTGTATATTTTCTCTAAAACAATGGGTATGTCTAAAACAATGGGTATGTATCATTTGTTTTGTTGGATCTACTAATTACAACATGTGCATAGAAATATTTACCCGGGTGAGAAAGGAGAAAACAGATTAAAAAAAAAGAGAGAGGAAAAAACAGAGTGCAAATAGTTTATGAGTCAGCCCCAGCCTCAGTGGTTGGACCAATACCAACTTGTAACCATTGTGAATGATTATCAGAACTGGTATTGATATCCTTTAAGTCACTTAGCTTTGCTAATTTCAGTTTACTATCTGCTTCATCATCTTCTACAATTTGTGTTGTGTTATCACGGATGTTATCGTTCATGTTGTTTTTTTCAGTACTACTATTATTGTTGTTGTTGTTTTCTTGATTCTTGTTGTTATCGTCCTCGTTTTCTTGGCGCGGTTGCTCGTACTTGTTTTGGTAAATAACATCATTTTTTGCTTCCTTATTTGCATTAATATTACTCCATGGATGCAAGTGTATATCCGTGGAAACCTCAAAGCTCAACGGATTCGTCCAAGGTTCTTGCCTTACTCTGGACATATCTTGATCATCTGCTGGAATGTTAAGATCTAAAGGATCTGATATATGCAATATTGTTGATTTTTCATTAATTTGTTCTAAAGGATTCTGAAAATGGAATTTAGCAGAAAAGATAGTTGAATCTTGGGAGTTGGAAGTGATCCAATGGCACCTTTTGTGGCCACCTAAAGCTTGCCCTGTTGAGAAAACTCTATGGCATATTGAACATTCATGAACTTTTGATTTTCTCCTAGAAGCTCCTACTAATGAGGGGCCTTGTTCTAATTGGTAAGATGATGATTTTGAACCTTTAAAGTAATCTTCATTTGTGATCACATAATCATGATTAACTAAGCTACTATCATCTAATTGATCTTGTTTAGCTGCATAACATCCTTTAACCTTCTTATGACTCGCCCTATGTCCACCTAATGCTTGGTGGGAATTGAATACTTTTTTGCATGCTTTACATTCAAACAATCCTTTGGAAGCCCCTTTAGCCTTGTCCAATGGTAATATAAAGAAGTTACTTTTTTCGAGATATTCGTCTCGATTCACGAGAGGAGTACTACTAAGGTAGGTCATTGGATTCCGCCTCTCCTCCTCCTTACTAGCCGAGGCACATGATTCCTCTTGCTCGATGGTTAATGGGTTCACCCTTGGCTAAATCTATAAGACATTTCGCAAGGAGAAGATCTTCTTGCTCACTTGATATATTATAAGTTGAAGTAAAACTTCCAACTTTAGTCCTCAAGGATCTTTTCCTTTTAGACCAACCATAACCTTTTCTTCCACCAATATATTCCTCACCATCTGAACCACCCGGTGATGATATCAAGGACTCAGCATCATCTGAGCTACATTTTCCATGTTCAAGAAAAGATTTCCATGACAAGAATTCTTGCCCACAATTCTCACATACCCTAGTGCTCTTTAGCCTATTAGGGTTTGCTCTCAATTGATACATCCTCTTGTTATCACTTCTTAGATGTTTGTGTTCCCAATCACTAGCTTCATCATCATCCACAAATGCACTCTCATCTCCAATCCCGTGAGCTCTCATGTGCCCACCTAGAGCTCTCCCACACATAAAACCCTTCTTACAAACTCTACAATAATGCTTGAAATTAGGCTTCTGTTCCTGATCAACACAAGCCATGACTAAACAAAAGATTAAAAAAAGTAAAAAGATTTACACTAGTACATAGTCAACTATGTGTGAGCGTAAGACAATAAAGAAGAAAGTGTGAGTGAGTTAGGAGGATGAATCAAGAAAGAAGAAATAGTAATGGGGTGTGGCATGGGTTAAGGGGGTGTGCGATAGGGGATGCTGTTGTTGCTGTTGTTGTTGTTCTTGTAGCTGTAGAAGTTGTTGTGGGCTTGTATGGTTAAAAGAAAGTTAATCCTAGTTTTTAGTTAGAGCCAATGGTTTGTTTTGTGAGGAGAGGAAAATATATAGGAGTTCGAGTGAGAATAAGGGAGTGAAGGTGACAAGTGGAATGAAGGGAGAAATTAGCCCAAATTAAATCTAACGGCAGAGGCTGGTGTATGTTAAACACAGTGAAGCTAAGGGAGCTAATTAACTGCTAAAGTAATTCACATCCCTTCATTTTCAAGCCAAGAAATTAAACTACTACTACCACTAAAGTCCTCATGCTTTCTCCTGTTATATCGCTTGGTTCTATCTGTTTTTTAATTTCCACACAAAATATTGTCTTTGAGACTTCATTGTTTTGGTTTTTTATTTTTAGAATTTAACCTATATGTATTGACATAAAAAAATATTTGTACAATCATGTCACTTATAAGGTAATTATAAGTAAAATTTCTATGATTAGCATTAATTAATATATTATAAAAAAGGTAACTAACATGTTATAATATGGTATAGCGAATTTTTTTTATTAGTGTATATCATAAATCTTCATTTTTAATGTTCTTAGCTTGTATAAGAAGAAACAATCCGATTGAATTGTCAAAGATCAAACTCAGGAGCAACTTTCAAGTTGATGTGGATCTTTATCATAGAATTTTCAAAGAGCAAAATTTATATGCTTAGAATAATTTAATTAAATTTAGTAGCCTCAAGATGTTTTTGCTATACAATGAACATACGGGAAGGAGGGTTCAATTCTTTCGTGATCTTTTTGCAAAGTATTACACCTTAATCAAGGCACGACCACTAGGTATTTCGCAAAACGGAAATTTTGAATCATCAAATCTCATCCACCATTTCTATTTGCACCTTAATTATTCTAAATCAACATTGGTAGAAATATTTTTGGGCAAAATGATGTTGTTTTCTGATGAAGAGAAGAGAAGAGAAAAGAGGAAAAAGATAGAAGAAAAAAAGAGATGATTCTCTAATAAATTTTCATAACTTTAGGTATTGTTTGTGGGCGGATATTGTGAATACTCGAGAGTCGTGGGCAGATATTGATGCATTCTTCGCATAGAAATGACATTAGGTAGCCACTCTAAATGGCTGCTATTTAGGAATTAGCCAATGTGTAATGAATTTCAATTTTTACGTTCAATTTTTCAGGATACAAATGTACTGAATTGTCCTGAATTTATGATTTTTAGTTCTAAATTTCAAGACAAAATAAGTACTGGCTAATCTCTAAATAGCAGACCTAAGAATGGTTGTTCGTGTACTTCCCCCTTTCTTTTTCCATTGCTTGTGAGGATCATAAAGTAAGAAGACAGCAAAAAAAAAAAAAAAAAAAA